GAGCGTAGCAGCAGCCTAATATGTGCAGAGAGGGGGTTTTGAACTAAATTTTATTTAGCGCATGGAATTGTGGTCGTGCGCGCTTTCTATGCGCAAAACACAAATTTTAAACTCGCTCGAGTCTTCGAATTTTTATCGAATTCCTAAAGCTTTTCCAAGTCTAATGTTACGCTTACATTTGTTTTGGACATTGGCTACTGCCAGTTCTATATTTTTATAAAGTTTTGGTTTCTTAGTGTGATAAATTTATGTATATAATCTATATAATGTGGTAAATGCGCCTAGCAGTAAACAGACTTGATATGAAATCTGATCTTAATTTACCTGTATGTCAATGAGACGCACATGTTTATCACCTCTGATTGCTCTTTAACCCCTGGTCTTTGCCACTACAATATATATTGCTTCTTCTCAGTTCCATTCACAGCTCACAGACACTAGTCGCTGCGAGTAATCACTGTGTTTGATACAATTTGTGCTGTTCACTGTAATTTTATTTGCTTTTACACAAATAACGTCAACGGACATGAGTGTGGTCAGAGAAGTTTCTATATCGGCCACCACAGCATTGCGTACAGGAAATGCGTCAAATGATATTGAACATTATTATGATTAGGGGCGGACCATTAGAAATCCCGGGGGGAGGGTGAAAATTCCCCCAAAAAAATTCGTGCAAAGAACTATGCCTGGAAAAAATTCGTGCAGCCATCACGTCAGAGAAAAAAAATTCGTGTAAGCAAACAGCAAAGTACAAATAGTTTTAAATGCATTAAAAAAATTCCTGCAGAGACACGAGACTGAAAAAAAATTCGTGCCGCATAAATTTTATACCCCCCCCCCCCTCCTGGGATTTCTAATGGTCCGCCCCTTAGCAACGATCAAGAATTAATAAAGAGGAACGAGACTCGATTCTCAAGAAGGCTCCATGGCTGAAGATGAAGCTGCTTTAACGCGCTGATAAAACGTAGGAAGAAGACAACATGGATATCTTGTGGATAACTGATTTATTACGAATTACACTTGAACTGTTGAACCATGCTATCAAGTTGCAATGCTCGCTCGGACAGATAAGTTTTAACATATAGCCTAATTAACCATATTATGATATAACTAATGCTTTGCTAGTAAAATATATATATCAAAACAGTAAAATGCTTAGATTTACATTCTTTCGTTGCGAGTAAACAGAACCAGAGCGGCCAGAATAGATAAAATAGTAGGGACCAGCTCGTAACACTTGCGGTTATGAGTAAAACATAGACTGATTATAGGAAACGGTGAATACAGTTAACGGCGTAGACCTAAAACATTGATTTAAACCGGATATTTTGGTCTTGAAAAGCATTGAACGCAATTTAAACAGCTCTTTATAGTTTTTGAACAACCGCACCCAGATTATTGCGACTGACGTCCAACCATCTTTACCATTTCTGACACATTTCAAACACAAAGTTACTCAGGCGGAATAGATAAGAATATTTCGTGCGGATTTAAAATTTTTATCCACAAGTAAGACGGAAAAAAGTTTCGTTGCAGAACTGATGAACAGTTGATATTGCAGTAAGCCGTGTACGACATTTTCTCTTACAATTTTACGATGATCTTGTTCTGCGTCTGCATTCTCGGCGCTAGCTTTCTCATACATTATTCTCGCTTGTCGTAAGTTCAACTGCGTTTTACAGGTGACTTATTCATCTTGTCAAGATTTAGTTTGCCTCGCGCAAACATTTGTTTGTTCCTCATTAAATTGATGTCCGCGTTTAATCAGAAGTTTTCTTAATAATGAACAACAAATGCGCAGCTACTCTTCGCCTTTCAACACGATGATTGCCTCAATTTTCAGGATTTTTATCTTGTATTTTTTGCCTCAAGTTATATCAGGTACGTATAGTCTATAGATCTCTATCTTTTAAAGACACCTCTTTATTTTTACCTGTAATAAACAGATAATTTAATTACATTATATACTGTCAATATTATATCTGTCATATCTTAGCCACAAATCTATATACAATACATTTTTAGCGAATCTCTAGACTATGGATCAGTCGAATCAATGTTTTTCATCTTTTATGCGTTAATTTTTTTTAATGTCAGACATTCTTAACTAAACTTCTTTGCTGCAGCTTGTTGATATTTCAAATCCTAAACCTGTTTACGCAAATTTCACCTCTATAGCGGCCACCAATATCTGTTATCTGATCGACGAAACGCAGATCAACCGTGCTACAGAACACAACATTGAAGAAAAAGTCCAACTAGCCAGAAACATTTCACGATGTCTTCGATCTAAAGATGGTGATACGAACATTGCGACGGTTATTTATGATAATAATTCAGCCAAGTTAGGTTTTAACTTCAAAAGCGTTGATGATATTTTAAATGATGGATTTCAGCAGATGATTGTAAATCAAAGACAACGACGAAATACTCAAGGTATGTGGTATTTCATGAATCACTCCCAATTTTTCCCGTCCTCGTGCATGTGAACCAGTTATGTCCAAGATAAATGAACATAAATTTTACACGTAATTTATTTCAGAAGCTCATCGAAATCAAAATAATTCACGTAAGCGAACAACAATCCGTTTCTTCAGTAATACTAAAGCCAAGAAATTCTCAGATACAGACTCTCCGCAGACCATGGCATTTCTCACGGCCGCTGAGGCAGTTGTTGCTGCTGAATCCCAGAGTACCGGGCAGATATCCAATTTCAAAGTCCTGGTTATTAGTGATAGTGAGGTATTTCCAGTAATGGATGATGTCAAGAACTATTTTCTGAATGCAAGTGTCGAGATCAATGCTGTTGACCTGAGTAAGGATGGCAGTTCAGAGTTAGAAAGAATCGTCACCGTGCCATCTGCAGAACATTATTTTCACAGTCCTGTTATAAATACTGGTCTGCAGTCAGTCGTTGACGATGTTTGCAAAACTCTTTTAAAAGGTAAAATATAAGACTGGTTTACAAATACAATTTTGATAGATCTATTATGTGTTGAGTAATTGCACTAATGCAATTAGATAAATTTTTGAAATGTTTTAACAAAGTATAAAAGTTTCAAATATGATTTCAAAATTTTATTTTCTAGCGCCTTCACAAAAGAATGTTAAGCCATTCTTCAAAGTGAACAAACTCCTTGCCAGACCTCTGAAGGAGATGACGTCATCTTATATGGAGCAAAGCCCGCAGTACCATTATGAAGCGGCTGCAACAGGAAATACTGACCTGAATACAAATCTGGATGGTGAGATCGAGGGAGATTCAACTGAATATAAATGGAGTCCACAGCCGGAACTGGAACCTGCCGCGTCTGTTGAAGATATCCAGGACACTCCAGAGGAACTATATGGCGCTGAGGACAAGAGAGGTGAGAGAAAAACAAGAACTATCCTGAAAGCATGGCAGGCCCATGGGTCATATATGTTGACAGCCTGCATGAATAATAATGGTCATATATATTGACAGCCTGCATGAATAATAATGGTCATATATGTTGACAGTCTGCATGAATAATAATGGTCATATATGTTAACAGCCTGTGTGAATAATAAGAGCAAGTGGAAACTCGAGTTTCGAGCGAAGGCCCTTCGCCTTCGCTCGAAATGTCGAGTTTCTGCTTGTTTTTTTTTCAGGTAGTAATATAACCACTCAGCACCGCAATTTCACATTGGTACTACCCACACTGGTACAGACAGTTTTTAAATAATAGAGTGATCTTTTTGTTGCAGATATCTGTAAATAACTGCACGATGAAGATATCTGTAATTAAATACCTATCCATTTATTTTATTATCCATGGTACTACCCACACTAGTACAGACAGTTTTTAAATAATAGAGTGATCTTTTTGTTGCAGATATCTGTAAATACCTGCACGACGAGTGCAACACCCACATGCAGGCTGGCTTATGTACAGATGATGATCCTCAGGCACAAGGCATGAAGAAGTTTTGTAAGACAACATGTGGATTTTGTGTTTGATATTTCTCGTCTGTCTTCTGCAATATAAAGTCCGTAAAAACCATAGATATCTTATATACACTAGATGGCGCATCTCTTTTAGTAAAATTGAAGCCAAGAATATTCCAGCGGTTACCCCCATTTGAATAGATGGCGTCCATGTTGGAGTTTCCCACTCGCTAATAAACGCTTAAAAACAACAATAACTTTCATCATTTGAATAGCTTGAAAATGTATTTGGAATAGGTTAAACTTAATGTTTAAGTTCTCTGTTTAAGGAATAGAAAACATACGAGTCTTCTCATTTCATGCGAATATGCAATCACGGCTTCAATTTTTGAATTTGAATGCACTATCTAGTGTATATAAGATATCTATAGTAAAAACGCAGATGCACAGTCAGGCTGTCGTAAACGTCGCTAGAATTATAATATCGAATCTCATGTATACACCCTTTTCATAAATGGCTGCCGATTAAAAATTCTTTTATGTGCATATAAATTGGCCCAACTAGCCTCGTTTCTGGGTAGAAATTCCTTTGAAATCCTAACATGAGTACGAGGCTAGTTGGGCCAATTTATATGCATATAAAAGAATTTTTAATCGGCAGCCATTTATGAAAAGGGTGTATATTCTTGTATACTGTATTTAAATAATACAATAAGATCTTTAACGTTTTATGAGGACCAGATTGGAAAAAAGTTGTAACTTTATCTGTTTATCCTCAATAAATAAAGTGTTATTATTATTATTAACTATCAAACATAACTTGCTCACAAATACTAAATAAAATCCTCATGTTCTGTTGTTTGTCTGTTCTTTAATTTTCCCATACAAATATTTCTCAACGTTTGGATCCGAGAGTAGTGCGTGAACTCCGTCTCGGAATATCGTTATTGAAGACGCAGCGTCAGCATCTCTGTGAATTTTGTTCAAACCAATAGTAATGATCTTGATTCCCTCTTCGCGCATGTCTGCTGCAGTATATTTGACGTCATCCAGGGATCTGTCTTTTACCATCATCACAAGAACCTAGACAGATACAATAGACAGACACGCCCTAGCATGTATGAACATGCTACAGCCCACAATTTGAGGGGAATCTTAGCTGAGTGGGATTATTTCTGTGTTCATATGACTGTTTTATCTCACCACATTACGTAAAAATGGCGTCTTCAAATATTATTTTTTGTAATTAGACGAGCTGCACCTTCTATTATGACTTAAAGTGAGTGTCTGTTGCGGTCTTGCTTGTTTCAGTTCTCCTTGCTTGTTTGAATTTTTAGTACATTCTTATCGTTGTAATCATCTTTTAGTATTTATATAATAGTGTTAAAACCTTTGTAATTTTAAAACCTTTTAGGTTACAAAAAAGTCTTCAAGTTATTAAATTCAAATTCAGTTTGTCGTTGAAGTCTATATTTTAAGTCAAAATCTGCAAAACTGTTCATCCATGTTAGGTAGAATAAAGCTTTCTTATGGAAAGTTTTACCCCACTTGGCTGAGATTTACCCTTAGATTTACCTCTAGTTTAAGTTTTACCCCTAGCGCAAGGCGAGATCTCACCATGCCTTGTTTCTCATATGAACACAATATGCGTTAACAAAAGTCACGTGAATTTCCCGGTTTGCTGTGCGCGTACATATGAACCATATATATCTTATATACACTAGATAGCGCATCTCTTTTAGTAAAATTAAATCCAAGAATATTCCAGCGGTTACCCCCATTTGAATAGACGGCGGCCATGTTGAAGTTTCCCACTCGCTAATAAACACTTAAAAAACAACAATAACTTTAATTTCATCGTTTGAATAGTTTGAAAATGTATTTGGAATAGGTTAAACTTAATGCTTAAGTTCTTTGTTTAAGAAATAGAAAACATACGAGTCTTCTCATTTCATGGGAATATCCTGAGTCTGCAATGACGGCTTCAATTTTAGAATTGCAGACTAATTAGATGCACTATCTAGTGTATACGA